TTTTTTGTTTTTTAAACTTTTTGCAACACCCTGTATGAACAATACTATGTTTTCTGAGAACTATTTCTCAAGTACTACAACTTTCCTATTTAAATTTGTGTCGTTCTCCCTGTTCACTTACAAGTGTTTCTATTTTTTTTTTTTTTTCAATTTTAAAATATACAGTAATTGTAACTACAAGGGGTGGCATCTAAAATTAGGTAGGTATACGTTTTTTAATTTTTGTCTAAAAATTCATTTTACAGATATGAGTGTAAATTATGCCGCAAAAAAAGGTTAGCTTCGATTATGTACGGGTTTTCGGAAATCAAAAGGTGGCAACCCTAGATGTTGATCACTGTCAGGTAATAGATTTTGATATGTCTGATCATCTGGGCCAAATTGTTAGTGTTTCTATTTCTTTAAACAATAGCTTACCTCAAACAAAAAAGAAATTTAGACCAATTACCCAAAAAGGATTATTCCTGTTTTACAATAGTCTTTCTGAAAGAACATGGGATTTTGTTGATTGTGGGGATATGGATGCTGATAGTAAGTGTGAAAGATTTGTGAATGTTCTGAACAGGAGCTCTATGTTGAATGTTTTCCTGAAAAACAGTATGTAATGCGTTCAGAAAATAACATTGGTTGGTTTGGCCAGGAACTGCGAGCTATGAGAGATCACTTGAGGTTTTTGGTGAAGTGAGCAGACAGTATGATACCTATGGGAACAGACAGTACTATATGCAGTATAAGCGACAATATAAAAAAGAGATCCGCAAAGCCAAAATTGCTTCAAATGATAATCTGATAAATTCTTCTAGTAACCCCAGTAAGAGCATGTGGGAAATTATTAATAAGAACAGAGGAAACAGAAAGCAAAATATTGAATCAAAAAACCTTACTTCAGATGACTTCAATAAATATTTTTCAAATATTGCTAATGAACTCGTGCAGGGTATGCCAGAGTCGGATACTGATCCTTTGGAAAATCTCAAAAATTTTAATCTTCAGGGAACATTGTCCTTCTCTGAAGTAAGTTTTAATGAAGTTAGAGATATAATAAACCAACTTAAAAATAAGAACAGCCGGGATATATATGGTTTGAATGTAAAAATCATAAAATCAGTAAAAAGTCTTATTCTGGTACCTCTCACAAAACTATAAACTTGTGTATTGGGGAAGGATCCTTTCCACAGTGCATGAAAAGGGCAATTGTGGTTCCTCTGTTTAAGAAGGGTTGTCCAGATGAGGCGGAGAATTACAGACCGATATCGCTGCTACCCATACTGTCCAAAGTCTTTGAGAAATGTATGTCTGGGCAAATAGTAAGTTTTTTTGAAGTGAATGATCTTTTCAATGAAAATCAGTTTGGGTTTAGAAAAAAAAGAAACACCATTCTGGGAATCCTAAATCTCATTTCTGATATTATGGATGCTTTTGATGGACACTGTTATAATACTGTTCTGTTTTGCGATTTCAGCAAAGCTTTTGACTGTGTCGACCATGGAATCCTTCTGCGTAAGCTAGAAGCATATAACTTCGGTAATGGCAGCCGAAAACTTTTAAAGTCATATCTAACAGGAAGGTGCCAGGCTGTGCAGTACAGTGGTGTGACGTCGGCGGGGCAGGAAATAAAAATAGGGGTGCCTCAAGGGTCCATTCTGGGTCCAATACTTTTCCTTATATATGTTAACGATTTGCCCTTAATAGATCAAAAGTCTAATTATACTCTCTTTGCCGACGATACAACAATCTCTGTGATGGCGGACTCTCTTGAGGCTTCGTTGTTGAGTTCCTTGGAGGCACAGAGGATGGCTGAGAAATGGTTTAATTCGAATAGGTTAGTGTTGAACAGGAGAAAGACAGAGAGAATGGTGTTTGCTCTAAGAGAGATTGGGACAGTGAGAGACCAAGTTCCTCAAGCTAGGTTCCTTGGGGTTCTTATTGATCCAAAAGCACAGTGGGGTATACACATTGAGGCTGTAGCCTCAAAGCTGAACAGTTATTTGTATCTGCTACGTCGTCTTGCAGAAAATGTGTCCCCCGTGGTACTAAGAACTGCTTATTTCGCAACTTTTCAGGCACAACTTTCCTATGCTGTACTTGTATGGGGTCATGCCTCAGGTGCTCAGCGTCTGTTTGGATTGCAGAGAAAGGCAGTCAGGGTGGTGAGTAGTTTGGGTTACAGGGATGATTGTAGGGTGACTTTTCAACAGCTGGGAATACTTACCCTGCCCTCTCTGTATATTCTGGAGAATTTGCTTTATATAAAGATCAATATCCATATTGTTCTCAACTCATGAAGACATACATACATGCCTATCCCACCAGAAACAGAAGTAATTTAATACCAGGTTACAGGCGACTGAAGAGGTGTCAGAATGGCCCTGGCTACTGGGCAATAAAGTATTTCAATGTGTTGCCATTGGAAATCAAAGAACTACCAAATAATAGATTTAAGGAGAAAGTGAAACAAATTTTAATTTTAAATGTTTTTTATTCAAATGAAGAATATTTTAAGTATTTGTCATGATCAATAGTATTAATAATTGTAGTTTTTGCATTTTATTTTATAACTTGATTGTATGTATAAAGCCCAGTGCCTTAATGATTTTTTGTTTTTAAATTGTTTGTAAAGTGAATGTTTAATGTGCGAATGAATTGTCATTTTGTATTTTATTGTCATTTATTATTGACCTATTTTATTTACTTTGACGTATGTACATTGCTTTTTTGTGATTTTAACATGAATAAAGAATTTGAAATTTGAACTATATAAAATTCCATGTTCCTAAGATAAATTTACGTATAAGTAATGCTAATCTGTTTCACTGTGATATGTCTGATTGGTCTCTAATCATGTCAATGCAGCATAAGTGCAATATACTAATTAATAAGCATGATATTGACATGTGCAATGTGGATGTTAAAAAACTTAAATCCCTTTTCGAACTTTACTGATGTTGTTAATTACACAGAGCGTTGTATAGATATATTATTGTTGTTTGTTAACCATTTATCTTGTTTTATACTTTTTTTAATTTATAGTGTTTGTAATAGCTGTAATAGCTGTAGTAATGTAAGCTCTAGGCAGTAGATTTTATTAGATATAAGGCATCTCTTGCATGTTGTTATCTATCAATATTATTTGATGTTTGTAAGATGTACCAATAAAATAAAAATAAAAAATAAAATGAGCCAATAAAAAAAAATCATGGGAAAGACCCATTTTGGCTGGCGGAAAAAGGCTGCTAACTTCACACCGGTCTATAAAAAATGGTCTGCAAGGGTTCCATGGACTAAAGCACGAAGCGCACTGAATCGACTCGGACCGGTCGACTCGGCGAAGAGCATTCGGTAGTTTTGGATACTCATGCAATTAAATGAGACTCCGCGCACGGCATCGGACTCGTCGTGGTCGACTCGAGTCTCATTTAATTGCATGAGTATCAAAAACTACTGAATGCTCTTCGCTGAGTCGACCGGTCCGAGTCGATTCAGTGCGCGTCCTGCTTAAGACCACATACTAACTTTAAAGCACATTCCTGGACAACAAATATGATGTTGAACAATGTTAATGAGCAACAACCTCGAATTTTTTACATTTTTTTTAACATATGGGGGTGTTTTTTTGCTACCCTGACAGGTCGTAAGGAGTTGTGTTCCACACTTTAGCTTTATCATCACCTAGTAAGCTGTGATCAGAGTATAACTAACGCACACAATTTCTGAATATATTTTATTATTTTTCAACGAACATATTAGGGCCGTTTTTTTTTTCAACCCTGACGAATCGTGAAGGCTCGAAGCTTCAGATTGTAGATTAATCACCATTTATCAATCCTAATAAGCTGTGTTTATTAAAGGATTCTAAAGTCTGTTTTTTTTTAAAAGATAAAAGTCAAAATGACATTATGTTGGCAATACAATGTGAAATGGTCAATGGCTTTCAAATTTTTTATGTAGAAAAGGCTTGTGTTGCCAACATAGTTACTAAATTAAAATTTTTGACTTGGGGAATTATCTTTAAAAGAAAAAACACACTTTAAGTTAATCATATTTTAGACAAATTTGTTGAAAGTTGAAAAAAAATTCATTCATTTTTTTTATAAATACAATGTTAAAATTATCAGAGGAAATACCATGTAGGTGTGCTTAAAAATTACCAATAATTTTCATGGGAGCATGTTGTTTATAATTACACAAGTTCAAAGAACGAGTGGAATTTGTACATATTGTTCGTCGATTTTTAACTGATACTTGCGGTATGAGGAGCGAGGGGGTGTTTCATATGGCAAAAACAGGTGTGACGTCAGGTAACCATTGGCGTTCCAATGTAGGGAGCCACCAGCTCACATTCCGTCCGAGTATCAGATTAAAATCGACGAACAATACAACAAGCTTGAATGAAAATTATCTGGTTAATTTTTGAGCATGAATGGTATTTTTAGGGAGAATAGGTATTTTTCAAATTTCATAAAAATTGTAAAACAAAATTAAATATAAATTTTTTTGGTTTTCAATATATTTTCATCGATTCATCTTCTTTATTAACTTCATTTCTGGAATGCCTGAAGCCAATTTTTTTAACAAATTATGAGTGCATAGCGCCTGAAAAACTTCCGAACCCGAAGGGTGAAGGATTTTTTCTTTGGCGCTATGCACAAATTGTATGGTTCAAAAAAATTGGCTAAAATACAAGTTTGTGTCATAACTCCTGTTTTAAGTTGAATCGTTTTCAAGGGTGCATTTTTAGATTTTACGGAAAAAAATACATGAAGTGGCTATTTTGGATTTTCACAAAAATACAGGGAAAGTCAAAAATTTGCCCCTGTTCAGTCCTCGTTAAATGACCCTGTATAACTACGTCAACAGAAACATATCCTAGAGATCAATGAAATAGGAAATTGTTTCTAGTATTACTGAATAGTTCAATGATACTTTAAATTGAACAAATTGACCATTTCTACTCTCTATAGCAAAAAAATAAATAAAATAGGAACTATTCTATAATTTACCTTGCATTTGTTGGCCATTTTACACAAAACTCTTCAAGTACCTTCAGTTAACAGAATCTGATAGTATGTTGGTGCTAATACAAAACTAGTGATTTGGCAAAGCTTCCGGAAAATCCTTGAAACGAATACACTTTTTTCAAAAATCCTTCATCATAATCAATGAGAACATGCAATCTCCTTTTAACAAACTGATATGAGCATTACGACAGTTGAGTTGAGGCTTACTTAGTATAAATCTGAATATATATTTTTGGCTAATTTGTTCTTTTTTTTTACAAAGAAAAATAGGATTATTAAAAAACTAAAGAAATAAATAAATTTTGTTACTATTTTTATTTTAACTTTACTTGTCTATTAAGTCAAAGTCATGTCAACTGTCACTTGGTATCCATCTCGAGTGCGTTTAGAGATGGAGTGTGATGGTAGAGTAATTTTTTGTCAGAGTATTCTGACGTCATCCCTTGGAGTGCACTCTGGGTGCGTATTTCTCAACGTTTTGGGGCGTTGCGGTAAGTGTCAATGTCATGAATTACGACGCAAGTTTAACCAATGAACTATAGTCAAAAACTGGAATGCGCACACATTGCATATCTGCCAAAAAAATTTAGCCATGAAAGACAGATGCCTAAGCCTGCCATACGTCCCGTATTATACGGGATAGTCCCTTATTTCAAGATCAATGTCCCGCGTCCCCAAATTTGTTGTCGGGACGCGTAAATGTCCCGTATTCTCGATATTACAAAAAGCGTAAAATAATTCGCCCGTCTCATTACCAGTCTCCAGTCTCTGTGGTGGCATAAATAAATCGATTTTTGCGCCTCATCTCTAGTCTTAGCAAATCGCAACGTGGTGGTTATTCGTCAGCATTTGACATTTGACAGTTTGGAATTTGGCGAGTTTGGCCCAAGGACCATACACACCACTAGGATTGCTTATCGGCCTCGTTTTGGGTAATCCCCACCATATTGGGGTATCACCATTGTCGACGTCATCAACTAAAGGAGCGCGCCCACTGGGCCCGCACAGCCCGGCACAGCACGGCCAGCGCGGCCGGCAGATTTTGATATGTTCGTAAACAAATAGAGTAGCGCCCACTGAATCAGAACCGCTCAGCTCGGCACCGCACGCTCAGCCCGGCGACGACTCGTATTCTCGATAGGGCAAAAACTGCCGGTCGGTCCGCGTGTCTGCGACCATAAAAGCATTGGATTATTTTGTTTCATTTTATTTATGGCATCATATCCGATGAAATTTCGATTGAAAGCATTTGAGCATATGTATTGTTGTATGAATCCAAGGAAAATTATTACCACGATATACCACTCATAAAAAAAATGCTTCGAGAGAAGTTTCTTTTTTATTCGCGAACCTACCACTTCGATAGTCAAAGTTGTTTTAATTAAATGCGTTTTGGGTCTGATCATGCCGAAGCAATGGGCGATGGCTGCGGAAATGCCGGCCGCGCTGACCGTGCTGTGCCGGGCTGTGCGGGCCCAGTGGGCGCGCTCCTTAAGTCGTCAGTGACGTCAGCTGTTTGCGCCAGCAGTCGTAGTTTAGAATTTAAATTTATGTTGAAAAATGTTATTTTATTTTGATCAAGCATAATAGGCAAATAGAAAGATGGAATCATAACCTGTGGTGGGACGAAGAATCTTAAGGTGACAAAAAATCCACTTGGTTTCTTACCTGCATTCTCTTGTGCAGAAAACTTTCAGCTATTTCCGACGGACTGAGATGAGATTTGGGGGGTCATGACCGGCATAAAAAAACAAAACTCATCGGGAGTTGATGGAGTGTCTTTGAAACTGCTTAGATATCTTCCAGTTTCTGCATTTGATGCTCTTACTGACTGTGTGAATCATTCATTTGAAATGGGTTCTTTCCCAGACTGCTTGAAGTTGGCTGTAGTTGTCCCTGTCTTCAAGGGTGGAGAAATTAATGATCCGTCGAGTTACCGTCCAATATCCTTGCTCACAACACTCTCAAAAATAATTGAAAAAATAGTTAAGAAAAGGCTAGTTGATTACCTGAAAAAGAACACCATTCTAACACCAGATCAGTTCGGTTTTCAAGAGCAAAAGGGAACAAACGATGCCATTTTTTCCTTTATGGAGAGGCTTTTTCTGGGCCTTAATGATGGAGAGAAGGCTGCGGCGGTATTTTGTGATTTCTCTAAAGCTTTCGATTGTGTAGATCACGAAATACTGCTGCAGAAACTGAGTCACTATGGGATAAGGGATGGGGGGTTGAGATGGTTTAGGTCGTACCTTGCGGAGCGCAGTCAGCTTGTAAGGATTGTCAATTGTGAAGACTCGGGGTTGCAAAAGTTAACTCACGGAGTTCCGCAGGGTTCTGTACTTGGTCCAGTACTCTTCCTCCTGTATATTAATGACTTGGTTACTTTGTGAATATCTGGATCATTCACCATTTTTTCAGATGACTCGACCGTATTGTGGAAACGTAAAAATGAAATCCTTCTTAGGGCGAGTATTATAAAACTGCTTCGACAGTTAACTTGAAGTTAACTTTTTGAATTACATGTAATTCCAGAAGTTAACTTTAAGTTAACTCTAAAAGTAGTTTTATAATACCCGCCCTTAGTCAGATAATCGAAAATGACCTTTCAAAGCTTAAGGAATGGTGCGATTCAAATCGACTTGTGTTTAATGTTTCGAAGACCAATATTCTCGCTTTTAAATGTTCCCTTGAAAATATAATGCTTCACAAATCCACATTGGAGAGCAGAGGTGCGGTCAAATTTCTTAGTATGCATATTGACTCAAAACTCAAGTTCGATGTGCATATCGATCAACTGAACAAAAAATTAACTCAAGGGTGTTACATAGTGAAAACCATTATGCAAGAGCTAGGGAAGCGTGCAGCGAAATCTGCATACTATGCACTAATCGAATCAAATTTGAGATATGGCATACCATTCTGGGGTTTTTCTGGGCAAAGCACAGTTCATTCGGTTTTCAAATTACAAAAGAGAGCACTCAGGTATTTGTGTCGGGCTGGCTGTAGGCAGAGCTGCAGGGCACTGTTTGAGCAGGAGGCTGTTCTAACTGTTCCGGGTATTTTTATTTTGGAGACGTCTTCATTAATTTTTAAGAAATTTAAGGGTAATTCTAGAGAAACACATTATAATCTTAGGCAGAGTAATTTGCCTCTGCCCGTACCAAAGTCTTCACTAACAAAAAATTCTGTTATATACGAGAGTATAAAGATTTTTAATAAGTTACCTCATGAAATAAAGAGTATTCATGAGCTTAAAATATTTCGAGAACAACTTAAAATATATTTGATTCGAAAGGTGTTTTATAGTCTCCAGGTATTTTACGATTCATCCTAATTAGTCCTAAATTTTGTTAGTTTGTGATTATATTTGTTAATTTTATGATTTGTTTTATATTTATATTTATATTGGTTCATATTCTTGTGATATTTTATTATTTTTGTTATTTTAGTTGTGTCTGTCCGTGGCATTCTGATATTTAATTAGTGTCACTTGTATTGATATTTTAACGTGTTTCATAAGCATAATTGTAATAATTGAAGATTTGCTTTTTTTGTTCCTATTGTTTAAAAAAAAAAAAAAAAACACATATATATTGTTAAGGGTGAATGCGGAGTGTGTCCTCTGAATAGTAGTTTAGTTTAGGATAAGTCGCTTTGTCAATGGATCTTTTTGAATTTATGACAATAAAGCTTTTTTTGATTTGATTTGAAACAGCCTACGTCAAGGCGAGAAACGACATGCTACCTACGTCACAAATGGTGATTTAGTGGGGTAGGGGGGCTTCGAAATTGTTGTACACAGGCCTTATGAGGATAGGCTATCCTGTAGTAGTAGTGTGTATTATTCGTGGATTCGCCCTACGAGTGTGGTTCCGAAAAAAAAAATTCGCCTGCGCCGCTATTTTTTCTATAAATACATGACACATTTGCTTCATAAAAATGTCCCGTTTTTTTTATCAGAATAATATGGTAGCCTTACAGCCACAAAGGGGAATGTTGTTTTTTTCTGTTGCATGATGGACCTTTCTCATTTTACCTGTGCTGTGCGCGCCGCTTGTGGGTGACAGATAATTAAATTGTGAATTTACTGAACGCGGTCTGATCCTGACGTATTTAAGCTAACCTCAATAATCAATCAATATTGCTGAAAATTATTACATAAACTGTTTATGATTCAATGGTCAAATGTGTTGTATGAGATCTTGTCAAAATAAGGCGAAAAAAAAGTAAAACTGTTCTTTTCACAAGTTCCCAAGCGTTCCCAAGTAATCAAATTGGAAGAAAACAATGTTTACGTGTTCTCAACCCGAATAAAGACGATTTAGGACAGAAATTTGAGGGTTCGTAAAATAACGATTTGTATATCAAATACATACAATATTAATTATACAATTGAAGATTTGCTGCAAACATTTTTGTCCAACGGTGGGTTTTCTTTCTAATTATTGTTAAGACACATTTGTCATATTTACGTTTAAAAATAAACAAAAACAGAAACATAACCGAAATTGCACATCTTTCTTCTGTCAAATGATCTGTCAAGTGACTACCCTTATGGCCCAAGATAATACACACTTATCGGCCTCGTTTATGATAATCGCGGTCATGGTGTAGCACCATTGTCGACGTCATTAACTAAGTCGTCAGCTGTTTGCATCAGCTGTTAATTTTTATTATAGGCGAAGACGTAAACGAGATATGAAAAAGTTTAGAATGTGAGAAACCAAGTTTCCATAAAGCAAAAGCCCGCGGAATCATAACCTGTGGTACAAACACACTACGCTACGTGAAGACGAGAAACGACACGCTGCCTACGTCATCACTGATACTTTGGCATGGCAGCGGGGGCTTGAGATTGAACTACACAGGCCTTATGAGGATAGACTATCCTGTAGTAGTAGTGTGTAGTATCCGAGGTAGTATCCTTGCAGGAAACTGAGGTCCAAAAGTAACCTCTTTTCCAGGAACCAGAGTAATTAGTAATTCGATTACTTTCGGACCGCTTTTCTGTAGTTGCCACATTTTTATTTTTCGTTGAGGAATGATGATCAGGAGCATTAACCCTTAGATTTGACTGAATTTAACCCATTTCTCAAAACCATAAATCACAAAAAAAAAAAATATACATCGTGTGTAAAAATCGTGTAATTGTGAGAAATGAAAGCGTGTAAAAACGTGTAATTTTTCCAGCATATCGTACAATTTCACAAATTCAGATTGGCAACACTGCATTTAACATAATGCGTGCGACAAAAGGCGGTTACACAGACGCTCGCACAAAACTGCAGTCTTGCTATTCTTGCTACAGTATTCCGAGTGTGCATACAAAATTGCACATTCAAAAACGCGACGATATT